AAATAGAACCTGCAAACCAACATCTAGAAACAGAGTTTCAGTTCTGGAGGAATTGTGGGCTTGCAAAAGAACCCAAGAGCATAGTTACACTAACAAATTGTTGATAAAGTAACATTTGAGGATGTTAAATTTCTCTACTCAGCAGGAAATGGTGTTTCCTGTTTTGGAAAAAAAAATGCTGGGTTTTATCCAACTGAGTTCTTGTTGCAGTAGATCCACTGGAATCCATGCACCTAACTTTAAGTAATACCCATTAATTTAATTGATCTTTTGTGGGGTATGGTCAGCTTTGCATACAACCCCTTGTATGTTCTTTCCTGTCTGCACAGATCATAATTGTCTATATCCTAACACCAGGGGGGAAATACATTTCAATTGGGCTTAGTTTATTAACAAAACCAGGAACTGAAATTATAACAATCCTATTTACAATTATTAAGTATTCATAGCATTATATGGGGGGGGGGTTAATGCTAAATTTCTGCAGCTCTTTTAAACTGCTTGTTTAAAAATTGGATAAATTCAAATCTTCCCCACCCTACCCTGCACACCTCTCTCATGAAGCTGTGTCTGTAATATGCATACAGTGGTCCCTCAGGTTACATATGCTTCAGGTTACATACGCTTCAGGTTACAGACTCCGCTAACCCAGAAATAGTACCTCGGGTTAAGAACTTTGCTTCAGGATGAGAGCAGAAATCGTGCTCTGGCAGCATGAGGGCAGCCGGAGGCCCCATTAGCTAAAGTGGTGCTTCAGGTTAAGAACAGTTTCAGGTTAAGAACGGACCTCCAGAACGAATTAAGTACTTAACCCAAGGTACCACTGTATATGTTTTTGATACCCATCTACAGCGGTACCTCAAGTTAAGTACTTAATTCGTTCTGGAGGTCCGTTCTTAACCTGAAATTGTTCTTAACCTGAAGCACCACTTTAGCTAATGGGGCCTCCGGGCGCCACCAGAGCACGATTTCTGTTCTCATCCTGAAGCAAAGTTCTTAACCTGAAGCAATATTTCTGGGTTAGAGGAGTCTGTAACCTGAAGCGTATGTAACCTGAAGCGTATGTAACCTGAAGCGTATGTAACCTGAAGCGTATGTAACCCAAGGTACCACTGAACTTGATTTTGGACACTGAATGTGCAGTGCAACATCTGAAACAGATTCCTGAACTAATTTAGTTTTGAGCTGAACCTTTTTGAAGAGCAGCAACTTCCAAACCTCCACCCACCCAGTACTGCTCAGTACTTACTACTATAATTTCCCCTGTGATTTTGCCCTCCACTTCTGATTTTCCACTGTACTGTAACTGTTTGCTTTTTGGAAGGCCTTTGTGGGGGGTTTTATGGCTTTCCTTTGCTACTGCAGGATACAAAATAGTAAGCTCTGCTCATTCCCGTCCTTCAGTATACTGAGGGCATATAGCAAGACGTGGATCTGCTTTCCAAGAACAAAGCACTGTCTACTATGGTTCCTTGGAGTCCAAGCAGGGAAAAAGTAACAGGAACACACGCACACCTTTTTAACAGCATCACAGTTATATGATTATGAACAAGAGCAACTTGTACTATCAGGTGGTGGTCAATTACAGCACCTCTGTCTGAGCTGTCCATTAATGAGACTTTCCCCATACAGATCCAAGTACAGTAGAATGAGGAAAATGAATGGTGGAGAAATTAATCCACATGTTGTGAGCCCATACATCATAGCTATAGGTGGAAATGTTGACCTATGAGGGTGGGTGGAATCCACAGAAAGGCAATTATTTTTAGTTTAAAAGGTTACCTAGTTTAAAAAGTTACCTAGAATCGCCCTTCAAGGTGGATGTTAACCCAAGTGGAGAGGGGAAAGAGAGAAAAGCAGGACACATTGCAAAAAGCCAAGCAGTTTGAAAGTCTTAAGGAGGAGTGCAAATTAAAACGTGTTTACATCTAGCATTCCACTTAGCACAGTACTCTTTATTGGTAAGGTCACTAAAATTACTAAAAGTGCTTTCTGGTTGGTCTGAAGACAGGCTTCATAGAATCGCAAGGGTTGGAAGGGACCACGAAGGTCATCTCGTCCAGAACCCTGCAGTGCAGCAATCTTTTCCCCAACATGGGGCTTGAACCCGGGGTTGCTACGAGTCTGCCTCTTAACCCAAAGCCCTTCTTAAATGGGATGACAGGGAAGCCAGTGATGGTGAAGCTGAAGTGGGGAATGGAATACAAAGGCTACCTCGTCTCTATCAATGGCTACATGAATATGCAGCTTGCAAATACAAATATATTGATGGACACCTGGGTGTTCTGATAAGGTGCAATAATGTCCTTTATATAAGTGGCATAGAAGAAGATGGAGAAATGAGAGGATAACTTTTTAAAAGGTTTTTTTAAAAAAAAACACCTTAAATTTAGTTGTCAGGTTTTGTTTGGTTTTTTGGTCAAGTACAGCCCCTCCAAGTGTCCCTGTTTTCCAGGGGCAGTCCTGGATTTACAGAAGCTGTCCTGGTTTCTGATTTGATCCTATAATATCTTGTTTTTCCATAGGGTGTTTCTATTTTCATCAGAGAAACATTGGAGGGTATGGTAGGACATCCCTCTTCTCATCGTAGAGTATGGAATCATGAGACCCTTGAGCCAAGGAGATAAGTAACTATACAACCTTTAAGGCAGCCAAGTGTAGGGAAGTTTTTTAATGTTTAACTAGTGTGTGTGTGTGTGTGTGTGTGTGTGTGTGTGGAAAGCTGCCCAGTGTGGCTGAGGCAACCCAATCAGATGGATGGGGAATAATAATAATTAATAATAGAATAGGATGTCCCTATTTTCATTGGAGAAATGTTGGAGGGCATGCAAGTAACCTTTCTTATGGCCACAAGTAAATACTGTCATTGAAGAAAGCTTACCATTATGGAAGAAAAATGAAGATACCATTTCTGACAGAGTCTCATGCTCTGCTGACTGATCTATCCCTGATCTTTGTGCATCTCCACCTTTTCTTAGGTTTGTCTTGTGGGCTAAGTGCTTTTGAGCTCTGAGTCGGCACTAACTGCAATCCTGCTAATTTACCATTTTCCCTCAAGGTGTTCTCCCTGGAGCCACCACCAGCGCCAGAATGCTAGAGGGGAGGACATCCTCCTTTTAAAAAATAATAATTAAATTTACAAACATTCATCAAGCAAACAAACATCAGTTTGTTTTGCCATCTCTGCATAATCCATCAGTTTAATCTGTCATTCTTCTCTAGTAGAGACTGTGCCTTCTTTCCCTATCTGGGCTACAATAGCATCCATGCAGCAGTAGTTGCATACACTTGGACTTTTGGCACCTACAATTCCTAAAAGAAAAGCTTCTGGTTTCTTACGATTTTCAGTTTTATACATTTCAATAATTTTACAATCATTTTAACATTTCAAAATTTGACATCCTTCCCCCTCATTCTGTGGTTCCTTGGATTTATTTTTTATATTTCCTGCATATTCCAAATTAACTTAATCTACTTATTTACTCATCTACTTTAAATGTATACTCTTATCAAACTGTGGGTTATTACAATAATCCTGCCAATCTGTTTACAGTTTACTTGTAAATATTTAATAAACCATTTCCATTCTTTTAAAAAAAGTTTATCTTGATTTCTTATTTTTCCGCTAAGTTTTGCCATTTCTGCATAGTCCATAAGTTTTTGTATCCATTCTTCTTTTGCTGGGACGACTTCTTTCCATTTTTGGACAAGTAACCTTCTTGCCGCTGTAGTTGCATACATGAATAAATTTCTATGCAGTTTGGCAGCTTTGGCCCTATAATTCCCAAAAGGAAAGCTTCTGGGTTTGTTTGTTTTAGAAAAGGTTGTTTTAAACAATTTTTTTGCAATTCATTGTATATCATTGTATCTTCTTTGGCGATCACTCGTAGCTGAGTAAAATTGTCTTCCATAAACATGGTCTTAACAGTGAATCCGTGACTGTGGAGGCCAATTCTGGATCCACACATCCTTCCACAGTGGGGACATAGGATTCTGGGCGGGAGTTGATCATGGTGAGGGTTTGCCAAGCGTGCCTTCCTCTTAGCACGTTTCTCCATTTCGTCCTGAGTTTGAGCATCTTCAAAGCCCATGACACCTTTGGTAAAGGCTGTTCTCCAACTGGACCACTCGCAGGCCAGTGTTTCCCAGTTGTCTGTGTTAATACTACATTTTTTTAGGTTTGCCTTGAGAGTCTTTAAACCTTTTGTTGACCACCAGCATTACGCTTTCCATTTTTAAGTTCAGAATAGAGTACAGTCATACCTTGGGTTGAACGCGCTTCGGGTTGAGCGTGTTCGAGTTGCGCTCCGCAGCAACCCAGAAGTAACGGAGCGCATTACTTCTGGGTTTCGCCGCTTGCGCATACACTCAAAATGACGTCACGCACATGCGCAGAAGCGGTGAAAAGCGACGCGCACAGACGTGCCATCGCTAGTTACATTTGCTTCTAGATGCGAACGGGGCTCCGGAACAGATCCCGTTCGTATCCAGAGGTACCACTGTAGTTGCTTTGGAAGGCACAACATGACCAGTCAAACGAAGTTGATGTTGAATCTCTGCATATGGTGTTTATTGACCTAAGGCCTTCGACACTGTGAATCGTAATGCCTGTGGACTGTGCTCCTGAAAATTGGCTGCCCAGATAAATCTGTGAACATCATTCGGCTCCTCCATGATAATACGACAGCAACAACAGTGGGATCAGTTGTGTTATGCCCCAACTCTATTCATTATTTTCGTTCCCACGATCCTACACTTTGTTGAAGGGAAACTCCCCTCGCGTGTAGAAATCATCATTGTACATCACCCTCCTGATGCGGCCGCTGCCTCTTTCTCCCCGTGGCCCCCTCCCCTTTCCCGGGCCATCTTGCACCAGGAATCACGTGGGGAGCATCGGCGGTTCCCATAGAAATAGGAAAAGGCTGTCCCTGCCAGTCACATGATTGGCGCTGGCCGACGGCGCCTTCCGCCAGGCTTTGCGCTCCTCGGGGCCGTGGAGGGTCTCCTGCTCCCCCCGCCCCGCCCCTTTCCCGCGGCCGCGCGCTCTCCCCGCCCCTTTTCCCATTCCCCCGCCCTCGTCCCCGTCCCGGAGGCGCTTCCATAACCGGAGCCTGCGCTCTTGCGCACCAGCGACCGCACCATGGAGGTTTTCATCCCGTCGTTCCGCTATGAGGAGAGCGAGTTGGAGAGGGGCTATACGGTGAGTGGTGGGCGGGAAAAGGCGAGGTTAAACTCTCCCTCCTCTTTCTTTACCCTCCGTCGTCCCCCCCTCTTTTAAGGAGCGGGTTGGTACAGCTCGGGCCGCCGTGAGGCTTTCATGGCGCATTCCATTCGCCCTAAGGGGGTGGTGCGGGAAAAGCTGTGAGACGCACCTCTAAGCACTAGCCAAATTCCCTCAGTTTTGCGTCCTACGCTACAAGGCTGTATAAAGACCCGCAATAGTAAGGCGAGAGCTCTTCGGTGTGAGGTTCCCCCTATGCCGGTTGGTAAGAGAGAGAAACAAGTCAGGTGCGTTGGCTACTGTTTCATGCAGGGTTTCCCAAACTTGGGTCTCTGGCTGTTTTGGAACTACAATTCCCACCATCCCTGACCACTGGTCCTGCTGGCTGGGGGATGATGGGAACTGTAGTCCAAAACAACAACAACTGGAGACCCAAGTTTGGGATAGCCTGATTTAATGGAGTTTGCTCGCAGGGAACTGGACATTCAATGGACAGGCCATTTCTGTTGTTGTTTAGTCGTTTAGTCGTGTCCGACTCTTCGTGACCCCATGGACCAGAGCACGCCAGGCACTCCTGTCTTCCACTGCCTCCCTCAGTTTGGTCAAACTCATGCTGGTAGCTTCGAGAACATTGTCCAACCATCTCGTCCTCTGTCGTCCCCTTCTCCTTGTGCCCTCCATCTTTCCCAACATCAGGGTCTTTTCCAGGGAGTCTTCTCTTCTCATGAGGTGGCCAAAGTATTGGAGCCTCAGCTTCACGATCTGTCCTTCCAGTGAGCACTCAGGGCTGATTTCCTTCAGAATGGATAGGTTTGATCTTCTTGCAGTCCATGGGACTCTCAAGAGTCTCCTCCAGCACCATAATTCAAAAGCATCAATTCTTCGGCGATCAGCCTTCTTGTAGACTGGTAGAATTGGCATCAGCCAGGTCAGACGCAAAGTACCTGGGGTCGTTTCCTAGGCTTGGTTGCGTTGCCACTTTTTCTTTGCCAAAACTCTGGCCCCCGAGAAACGATAATGTCCCCTTGAGCATACACAGAGGGCTTATGTGAAGTTGAGGACTTTTGCCCAGGAATGCTAAACTAAAGTGCTTATTGGCCCCGTTGGCAGTGGCTCCATGCTTGGGAAGAATACATCTCTGTGACTTGGGATGGGTTTTCAACTCATGTTTAAGTTCTTTTAAGTAAGGCGAGATAAAAACTCGCTGCGATACAACAGCTTCTGAGTACCAGGTTCTCAGCTTGCAAAAAGTGTCAGAGCTCTCCCAACTGCTTTCACGTTCGGAGTTTTCAAAGAAGGATGGCATCAACTAAGTTGCACAGAGATCCTTGTCAATTGTAAGTGAAGCTGCTGCGGTGGGGCGGCAATTGCATGCTATTTTTTTTTTTTAAAAAAAGCTGTTTTGACTGTCTCACCACCTGCTATTTTATCTCAAGAAAATAAGCCTGATATAATTTGTTTATTGGTTTAGCTGGAATAATATTCTAAAATGATATTGGCTACTGCAGTGAGCAAGAAAGAAACTGTCTTAAGGAAGAGCTAGCATATTTCCCAAAAGTGCTGCCTAAGATATAGCAGAGAAACCAAAACCACATCTGACACTTGTAAAGCCAGGATAAGCATTTTTCATAGTCAGTTCCTTGAGTTTCCAATGACCGTTGACCTTATTACAAGTGTCATGCTCAAGTCCCATTTCACACATTGTAGCAGGAAGCAAGAGTTTCTTGTGCTTCTGTATTCCATATTGCTTCATATAATTTGTGATCTGACACTGGGGTCTAGTTGCCGCTGGGTGTAAACCAGTGGTTCTTGCCCAGAGGGCGTAGAGCTGCTATCTACAAATCGGGGGGGGGGGCAATCCAGAGCTTTGGGGGAGGCAAAGGTAAGCATTTTTGACAGCTCCACTGCTCTTGAAATGCCATCTGAAATTCAGCAGAAGAAAGTTTTGATCTACTACTCATCCCCTGCCCTGAGGATAAAATCCCAGACACCTCTCTATCCCCCATATACATAAAGTAGCACATGACAATGGGGTTTAAATGCTAAATACTCACCTCAGTGAAAGGTACATGCACATAATCTGCTTCTGCCATTCCTCTCGTTATATTTAGTCAAATGTGCCTTCAGCACAGTCATAGAATCATAGAACTGTAGAGTTGGAAGGGACCTTGAGGATGATCTAGTCCAGTGTTTCCCAAAGTTGGGTCTCCAGCTGTGTTTAGACTACAGTTCCCATCATCCCTGACCACTGTTCCTGCCAGCTAGGGATGATGGGAGTTGTAGTCCAAAACCAGCTGGAGACCGAAATTTGGCAAACACTGATCAAGTCTAACTGCCTGCAATGCAGGAATATGCAGCTGTCCCATGGGGATTGAACCTGCAAACCTTGGCATTATAAGCACCACATTCTAACCAGCTGAGCTATCCACTCATCTGCTTGGCAAGAAATGGCTGCCTGAATAGTGCCGGTCATTGAGAGCTGTCTACTAATACCAAACTTCATATCGGCCACAAGGGTCTTGTGCTCAGCAGACATTTGATGCTCATGTTGTATACTTGGTGGGCAGTAGTGGATTAAATATTAAAAACCATTGGGTTAGACCTGCTCTTCAGTGGGGACTCACATGAGTGAATGTTTCTCCATAAGGAAAGAAAAATCCCTCCCAATGCAAAACTGGCATGTTGGGGAGAAGGTAAAATTTAGGGTTGTAGCTCATTTGGCAAACTTGTATGCAAATAGTGCTAGGTCCAATTTCCAGTATCTCCATGTAGGACCAGAAAAGACTGCTGCTGAAATTCTGGAAGAGCTGCAGCCTGTCATTGTAGTACTTAGTTAAATGGACCAATGGCAGCTTCCCATGTTCCTAAGCTGGACCTCTCCTCCTTGCTGCCCAGTTATACAGCACCAATTTTGACCTTCTCTTGTTGGCTATGTCGGGAGCCAGCAACATGACTTCCAAAGCTTACCATTTGACAGTGGGCTCGCCTTGTACGTTTTTCCTTTTAAGCAAGTCAAATTGACACTGTGCTTGACAAGATGTTGGTGATATTTGTTTTCCTCAGTTAATACCAGTCAACAGCTAAACTTTTTATTGCCACTTTAAATTGATGAGTGGGTCTCCAAACTATTGAACCTCTACTTAAAAATGCAACAGTTGTTCATAATTTGGCAGTGAATGACCTTTAAATGTAGACGTTTTGTAAAGATATCCTTGGGGAACAATTTAACTTCAAAATGACACCCATGAGCACTTGTTATCATTTAAATATGCCTCCTTTGTCAATAACAGAATAGCAAGTACTAGTTAGATTTCTAATGTTGATTCAGATACTTGGACACTGGCCGAATAAATTAGTGTGTACTTGATTTATATTGACCAAAAATGTTGCATTGGTGTGTTACAGGTCAAGGTGACATGTGTTTAAGTGGACCGAGGTGCAAAGGGCACACTTGACTGACATGCTTGCAGTGTTTTTAATTAACTTTTTTAATGCTATCCCTTAATTGCTTTTTGAGGTAGTTGAATTATGGAGCTGGGATATGATGTCAGATATTTTTGTTTTTAAGTTATTAATCTCTCTCTTGTCTATAAAATCATTAAAGATTTATTCTTTATATTAGTTTATATAGTTTCCCACTTCCTTTTAAATCTGCTCTAGCCGTGGTTTGTGCACCATAGCAGTGAAAGGAGTCTCCTATTGCAAGTCAAGAGGAAACACTGTAACTTCCTGATGCTAATATTCCAAATCTGTTGATCCCGTGATAAGCAGATGACGTCGAGCTAGCTAGTTCTCCCCAGCTTTACCAGAAAATGACTTTAAATACAGGACAAGTACAGAGCTACGTCAGTTTTGCTTCTGGGCTTTACCTTACCCTTATGCTTAGTTTTCCTGTGCAGCAGTGTCCTAAGGTAAAAAGAAGTGCAGCCCTGAAAACATGATTTGTGTCCTTCCTCCATTTCTAAGGCTTCTCAGTCCAAGTCCTTTAATGCTGCTCTGTCAATTCAATTCAGCAGTATGTAGGTCTATGGTTTAAAATAGTCTGACGGCTGGATGGGAAGCTGAACAGTAGAGTATGAGGATAAAGTAAAAGGTAAAGGTAAGCCTGACTGTTAGGTCCAGTCACGGATGACTCTGGGGTTGCGCGCTCATCTCGCTCTATAGGTTGAGGGAGCTGGCGTTTGTCCGCAGACAGCTTCAGGTCATGTGGCTGAGCTGCTTCTGGCGAACCAGAGCAGCGTATAGAAACGCCATTTACCTTCCCGCTGAGCGGTACCTATTTATCTTACTTGCACTTTGACGTGCTTTCAAACTGCTAGATGGTGCAGGAGCAGGGACCAAACAACGGGAAGCTCACCCTGTCGTGGGGATTCGAACACCGACTTTCTGATCGGCAAGCCCTAGGCTCTGTGGTTTAGACCACAGAGCCACCCGCATCCCTTAAGGAGAAGGTAATTCTTTACAAATTGGAATATCGGTCACATCTCGCTTTCTTGAATGGAAACTTGCTCTTGAAGTCTTAGAAAGTTCCAGTCATTAAAAAGACTGCTAATAATCCCTTTATTTTTTAAGCACGTCAGTAATGGATACTTTAGTGATACTTTATCCTACTCCTGGCTTTTGTAGCCAGACTTTATTTGATTCTTGTCCTGCTGGGCATCAACCTTTGGTAATATATCAGTTCCAAGACCTAGATCCTTGGTATAATGTGGACCTCTGTCCTTTTCAACCACTTGGTCCACTTTAAACAACTATGTGGTGAAATTTTGTTCATGTGCCTTAACGGTCACCCCTTTTCTTTTAAAAAATCCTCACTTGGCCCTCTCAACTCAACAGTGTTGGCTCCTCTTTGCTGTCTATGCTGTTTCCTGTCAGTGATAGGGGATCAGAATGTTTCACATCAACAGGGCAAGTTCCGATAGTTCTGTGAAAGTTATAACTTTTAAAGAATTTCTGCAGCATGTTGATAATGGAACTTT